AACAATAGCAATGCGATCACTAGAACTGTGGTTGCCTTGGCAGGGACAGACCAAATAATTTTGTGGGCCTTATGTGGCCCGAGGGCCAGACGTTCCCCACCCCTGCTTTAGATGATCTAATTCTGAAAATCAGCTAATGAAAACTGTATGCTTTAAAACAGTCCGAACTTGAGTTAACTGTGGGATGGTGCAGGATTTTGCAGTATTTTGTTACGTTGTGCATGGAGTCACTGGGTGGAGAAGTGATTCAACATCAGCAGTTCAAGTATACAGCAGGAATTACTAACTCACATTTCCCAGTGCTAATTCCTAGCCTACAAAACCCGATTATTCAGTCTTGGGACAGGTTATGTAATGTGGTTATGGGTGCAGGGGCCCACCCCACTGGATGAAAGGCACAGTTCTCAGAGAGGAGGGAGGTGGTCTAGGCAACACCTTAGAGGGGACTATCAGTGGGAAATCGCAAGAGCAGACCAATTGGACTAAAGAGGTAGAATTTGGACCAAGGAGTGACAGATTTCAACTTGGAGAAATAAAGAGCTTCAAGTGATCCAAGGTGGATCAGACTGCTTTGAATGATGGTGAGTTCCTGTACATGCAGGGGCTCGAACGCAGGTGGGTCATCATCCTTGAGAAATCCAAGCATCTGCTGGACATGAACCAGATGATCCTCAGGGCTCTTTGAAGCTTCTCAGTCTGGTTTTGGCTGCTGCCTGTTCTACAGATACACACTGCCTTCAAGTTGATTCCAACTCATAGTGATCCTCTGTAGGCTTTCTGAGAGTGCAGATCTTTATGGGAGCAGACTGCCTCATCATTCTCCCATGGAGTGGGTGGTGGGTTCGAATCACTGACCTTGCAGTTAGAAATTCAATGCCACCAGATTCTTCCCTTAAATTTTCTTTGCATACAATAAAGACTGTCATTGTTAAGAGCCTTGAGTCAGTTCCAACTCATAGTAACCCTGTATAGGGTTTCCAAAGAGAGTTTAGTAGGTTTGAACTGCTAGCTGTAAGATAAATCCAGTGCTTACCTTCTTTTTTTTTTTTTTTTAAAGTTTTTGTGAATTGAGTGATAGTTTACATGGGAGAACATCGGTTTTACATTCATCCTATCATATTTCATTTCATTGCAGTGATTACATTGCATCATCATTCAATAGTATTTGCTTGTAATCCCTCTGTTATTTGTTTTGTTTTGTTCTTTAATGT